GAACCGATACCCAAATTCACAGCCGGAGGTACTCGCCGCATCACATAGAATTGTATCGCGCAAGCTTTCGACCAACAATCGAGACCCGATTTTGCAGCCCGGAAGTACGCGCCGCACCATATGGTGTCTCTGGACATATCGTTATCTCGCGAAAACCTTCGACCAAAAATCGAGACTCAGTTTTGCAGCCCGGAGGTTCTCGCCGCACCTCATGTTGTTCCTGGATATGTTATTATATCGCTCAGAACTTCAGGCAACCACTTCAGACCCATAACACTAGAGAAGAGACTCATGCGATATGGCACCGGTGCAAGAGTTTTCAAGCCATATGATCGCTCCCATACTTACTCTGCGACCACTCGTGATGGCTTGTGGTCTCAGCATAGGCAACGCCCGCTCTGCGACCCCCGGAGTTTACTCAGCTGCCCAAAGCTCAGCCGATTGCGCATAGTTTACCCGAAGCTATGACAAGTGCGCGTTGCTGTGCTCAATCGTCTTGAGGCTAGTGGGTTTTCTAGAAGACATGTACCATCGCGCTTGTTCAAGTTTCTCAAGACACCTGTTCGATGCATCATCCGCTTTCACATTTACTACAGCCGTAAGATATTTCTTATCGCTATTTGCTAGTTTATATTGCTATTTTGGATTGCAGTGTCTGCTTAGGTACCGTTCTCTGCCACTCGCCAGTCCGGATTGAGCGCACAGTTGTCTGCTGACTAACTCGTCCCCGCTCTCACATACTCTCTTCACAAACCCAGACCTTCCCATCCCTTCTTCCATGCAGTTCTATCCTGCACCTTCTCCACCCTCAAACCACGGCTCCGAGCCTGTTCGTAGATTGAGTCATCAGCCTCGGAGACTTTCCGCCGCTCTCCTGCGTCGCTTTCGCTAGCGTCGTCATCGCTCTCCGCTGGATATACGGAGTGGTCGTTGCACGGACTCTCCCCAATCTTGATGGTCTTCAAGTTTGGCCATTCTGTTTGGCGATCCAGGAGATGCTTGAGGTAGCGCTTGGTCTCGTACGTCGCATCCATGATACTGATGCTCTCGATCGTGGTAGGTAGATGACAAGTTCGGAATTCCTCGTTCGCAGAGAAGAAAGCTTCCTGTGGGGCATTGAGATTGCGAAGTTTAGGTAATCCAGCAAGCCAGGTCATTGGAGATACACCGCGAGTATACTCCAACATGATCGTGTACCTGACCAGATCTTTGAGGGCGGGCTCAACGTCCAGAGTCAGATTCGTCAAACTGCGGCTCTCCAGATGCGAGACAATGTGCGCGAAAGATCCTCGTGGAGTGTTGAGGGGATTGAACCTGCCATATGGATCGATAAGAGTGCGGTATAGAATGAAGAGGTGGGTCAAGTTTGTAAGACCACGGACAACGCTTCTCATGTGACCATACACACCCTGCCCATGAGTGGCTTCGTGAGAGTGAAACGCTTCAAAGTCCGCTTGAATGATCAGACGGGTCAAACTCGTAGAAACAGTTCCGCTAGGTGCGATATACCACATCATCTCGTTGGAATTGATGTAATCGTCGCAATAGAAAGCGTCTTCGAATAGGTTGATACTCGCGGCTTCCAGTCGGGGTAAACTTAGCCAGTTGCATGGTGGGTAACCATTTGTGGTCAGTCGAGTCAGGCTAGAGAGACCCTGGAAACATTCTGCGAATTCCTTGTGTCTGGCTACGTCTTGGAACAATTCTCCGAATTCACCCCAAACGAGGTTTTTGTAGTTGGCATACAACGGTGAGCCCCGGTTTTCCAGTGTGAGATCACTGAGAGCCGGGGTGATACACAAGATGAGCTTGACGAGAGCGGTTTCTACGCCACTCATCAGCATATCTTCCCAGCCAACGTTGTGGAGTGTGATATCGTTCCTTGACTCGACAGTGCTCGCAAACCCGATAAAGTGGGCCCCAAGCTCCGGAATACCGCAAGTACACCTATCATCTCGACGATATTCTCTCGAAGACACACAGCTCTCAAGATGCATGATTGGTATGCCGGACAGCTCGATGCTTAGTTTCAGCACTCTTCTCGCAAGATCGGGTCGCTGCAAGAGAGTGCGCGCGAGACGCGCGAGACCTCGTTCCAGGGTTGGAGTGATTGAGATATCCGTGTAGAACACTTCTTGCGCAATAGGTCGTAGCTTCCGGCAACTCAACGCGAGGTGATTGAGATCGCTGTATCCGTTCTTGGTGTCGTCTCGTAGACATTTGGCGACTGCGAGCAGGAGCTCGTCTGGGAGACCGCATAAGTCAGTCATGTCGACGAGTGCGCGTGTCTGAGGCGTGGGGTGATGATCTCAGGTGAGATGAAAGAGCGATAGCCTGGTTCAGTACTGGAGAGCAGGAAGTCGCGAACGAGCCTAGTCTCGACTGGGTAAGCTGCGAACGCGCTATCAGCTGACTGCTCTCTCACTTCATTTACAGATGTCGCAAGCTCGAGCAGGTTTCACTCACTGTATATCGCAAGGTCGTCTAGTGGTCGCGCTGTGCTCTCTGTCAAAGCCCGTGCAGCACCAGGATGGGTCACTGCCAGATAACTTTGGAAAGCAAAGCATCACAGGATATCCATGCAGCGTGCCAACTTCCTTCCACCTTCGACAATGATTTGATCAACATTGGAGAGTACGACTAGCACAACTCTCACATGCTAGCTCCGCACGCGTTCATCCGTTCATCTCTCTTTCCTACAAGCGATATTACCAGCTTTCGAATGTAGTAGTCCTCAGTACCTAGATATAGCAGCGCCCTCATTGCCAAATGCTTGGTCACTTTAGTCGCGTTTGATTGTGTAGCTGCTTCGTGTGATTTCCCCTCTTTGGTCACACATGCACTTGCCTTCGATAACCGTCGTGTCAGCTCCACTCGCCACCTTCGGGCCCGACCCATCATTTTATCCAGTCGACGTTCCTATACGTCTATGTTCGGATTTGGGCTGCTGCTTTCCTTCCTTCACCATAGCCTTCATTGAAGGAATATCCGTATTTGACCATCCGGTGGGTCTGCGACGGCTAGCGCGTCCGTCCATTGGGCAACGACAGCCTGGGCAGGGCCGCTTACCATATCGGCCGTGCCCGGGGCCGCCAAACAGGCAGCCGTCAGCCTTTACCTAATACGACAACCTCCAAACTGCCGTACATACCTAGGTAAACTCATAACGTCTTCTCGACAGCTTTCGCGATCATCTACCATTTATCTCAAGCTACGAAACTAGCGCTGTCCCAATGGCGTCTGATCCTATCCCTCCACCCTCCAACTTTCAGCCTCAAAGCCCGCTGTTCTATGTCATACCTGGCGAGATCCGTAACGAGATCTTCCAATTGGCGCTCATGCAGGATGAAGACAGCGCAGCAGCGTATCCAGAAGACTCGTACTGGTACCGACCAGGTTTCTCAGGTCCGCTCAAGGGCAGCACTGCACTTTTGCGCACGTGCAAGCTCGCGTACGCGGAGGGTCAGAAAGTGTTCCTCAGAGAGCTGGAATGGGCTTTTTGGTTTAGTACGTTTATGCGAAGCCTGTGACGTTACGCCAAACTGATCTCGACGTAGATCGTGGACCTGATGGCCGTACATGCACTCCAGCGTGCGAAAGATTCTGCCGCAACCTAACTCCACAAGCCGTTCAGTCACTCCAGAAAGTTCGTCTTTTCACGCAGATGTTCTGGCTCGAAGAAGGAAATCAATTATTCTACATCCTCAGCATACCTCAGTTCCGACCAACCCAGCTTACTATTACCATACGATACTCCGACTGGTGGTTCTGGGAAAGCAATGCGCCACTTAGTATGGAAGAGAAGTGGCTTCGCTACTTCGAAGGAAACCCCGGCTTGCGCGTACTGAGGGTTGAGTACGAGACGCTCAGTTGGAAGAAAGCGGAGATGATGCGCATCATAAAGCGAAACAAGAAATGGAAACTACCTGTACGAAGAGAAGGCGGCAACTTCCAGAGGAATGAGCTCGAGGGGTATCTGAGCGCTGAGAACACTGAGCTGAAGGAATGGACTTGGAAGGGCCCAAGCAAGCTGGGTGGACGAAGCTGGATGCACCACGGTACCGAAGATAAGGTCGAATATGTCGTCGTAACGGATACCTGGCAGTTTGTGGAAGGCGAACTCACCGAGAAAGAGATGGAGGGCCGGTTGACCACTATGATGCGAGCACCTGAGTTGACGCGGGCCGAGGTGGAAAGACGCCGCAATATAGGCGCATGGCGTGGGAGACTTCGGGAGAGGAAGACTACACAATATGCAGCTTAGTCAAAGATATGTTCTCCAGTGCGGGTAACAAGTACTTTGTTACTCTGCTGCGATTACACGGAACCTTGACAACTACCACCGCTGCCAAATCTTTTGTCTTATAACACGTGTTCAAGGGCCCTCTCCCCTATGATTGCGTTCAAAGTCAATCTCGATGAATTCTAGCGCTCGATAGACCGCAACTCCAACTTTTCTGGCTGTCTGACATGGAGTAGCAGCGGGTCTGCACACGAGTCCCGTAACACACTTACCACCTTCTTCCTCACCGCCTCTACCTTCTCGCCCTTCTGACACACCACTTCAACCCTGACTTTTTTCAGAACGCTACTCAACACACTGCAAAACTCCACCTTACTAAACTTCATTCCCGGGCAGATCCTCGGGCCAGTCCCCCATGCGAAGAATCCACTACCACTCGTTGGGTGCTTGAGTTCTTCAGCAGACAGTATCTCGGGTAGAGTTACCTTGCTACTGCCGGCGGAATGCGACTGAATCCAGCGCTTCGGGTTCCAAGTAAGCGGATCGGGGAAGTTGGCGGATGAGGTGTGAGAAGCCCATGAGTTGAGCATGATTTGGGTGTTAGCCGGAAGAACGATATTCTCATGGGCTTTCTTGGAATCTAAACTGGTCTGTGGGATAGTACGCTGGGGATGTGCAGGGAAGGGCGAACGCGGAAGAGGCGGCGAAGGACTGTAGAGACGTAGCGTTTCGTACTTGCAATTCTGTTAGTCCTCGATCATCCGGCGCGTAACAGCAAATAACGGGTGAAGATAAGAGTGAAAAGCCGTACCATGACAGCGATTACCCTCTTCAGTCGCGGGAACATTCTTGCATACTCCGGGTCGTCAGTTGCTTCGTTTTTCAGAACTTCATCCAGCTCCTCCACTACCCAGTCTTGGACCTCAGGGTGCACAGCCAGTAAAGCCAATGCGTATGATAGTGTGATTGAAGTAGACTCCAGTCCACCAACTGTGAAAATAAAGACATTGCCTCTTAACTCAGCGTCGGATAGTTTAGCTTTCGAACCCCCACTTCTAGTGTTGGTTGTATCGGTGGCCCTGATCAGCGTACTGATGAGTGTAGCAGCTTTGGGTTGCCCGCTGACCACTTTTGATCGCTCTCTTACGACAGTTTCGTCCATGTACTGCCGAAACTCACGCATGGCGAGTAGCAGTCTCTTAGTACTAGTCGGAAGCAGCGATTCGAATGCGGGGGATTTGAAGAGTGGCATGATACCATCTATAGCCGGTGAGATTGAAGTACTCATAACCGTCACTAGTGCATCGCGAAGTGACAGTTGGTGACCTGGTGTCGGTTCATTAACTTCCGTATTCTCGAAAGCGACTGAAGATATGACGTTGAGCGCCAGTGTGCTGGTATCTTTGATCATGCTGCTCGTCCTTCCGCCGGGTGATGAGAGCCAACGCTCGATCATATTTTTCGACTGTTGTAGAGCTTCGTTCCATACCGTGGCTGAGACTCGCTCGTTGAAGCAAGGCGCTGTGAGTTTTCGATGACGGATCCAATCATCGCCATTTGACTTTCTGAATTAGCTTTTACGGTCCTGAGTACGAAGAAGATGGGATAAACTGCGAGTTCCTAGAGCATACCTAGGTATGGCACATACCGTGTCAACGTTTTGCCCAAACGTGCCCAATATCACTACAGCCACAGTCAGTTTCCGCTTCCAGTGTCCTATCACACATCGTCGGACTCACCATTCACATTATCCGGCTTTACATAACCCCTCCAATCCTTGAGTACATGTTCAATCGTTCTCGGATCACTCGTACATAGCACATTATGCCCTGGCGCCACCACAATGAAGCAGAGACCAAGTTCTTGATGTAACTTTTCGTTGTCTTGCCAGCAACATGTCCAGTCAATGGCCCTGAACCACCGGTATCTTTCCAGGTAAGTTCGGAATAGACTGGCTACCAGCTGCCATTGTAGAGTATATGGGGTGACAGGACTTATGATGATGCGCAAGCCAGACTTACGTGCGGACACGTAATTGCGATAGAGTTGGCACAGCGGATATATGATAAAGACGTGAGCGAAGAGGAAGAGTATCGTTGCGATGATCATCTTAGCAGGCATTGGACGATAATGTGAAACCCTGGTTGACTACGGGCACCTTGGTGTAGCTAGAATCTAGAAGACACTGGACATCTGTGATCTGGGTGTTTGCGCGCTGAGATTGCACATCACGCGGGGTCACACATGCATCGTGCTTATTGAGGCAGGCGCAACTTGATGTTCAACGAATGAATGTCAAAAAGTCGGCTTCATCCGACTATCGACTTTTCACTTATGCGGAGATACGAACTATCAGACAGAGACAATCGCATAGCAGTAGAGGCATGAAAACGCAATGCGCACGCGCAGCGCGCATGCAGGCGCATATCACACACGTGATGTCATCCTACTCTACATCACAACCTCCACGAGCAAGGTTGCAGCAGCAGTACAATCCTGCCACATCTGAGACACGAGCAAGCCTGCGCATGCACGCCTCACCGAGGCACGTCTGCAATGCAGGGTCAAAGATACCGAACGTGTCAAAACATGCAGAGCCGACCCGCGACGCACGTCAATTACTCGACAGGAGGGATGCGCCCGTCTTGGGTTGAACATGGCATCGTGGACACTTGCAACGTCGAATGTTTGATCTACAACATGTGTTCGCAGGAGATTGCGGATGGGTATTTTGCTGGTTTTACCGTAGTAGCAAACTTGTATGTTTCAGACTTTAGCCTGGCTTGTTTCATGGATCTGGTAGGTATGTGTGATTCGGAGTGGGTTGGGGAGAAGCATTAGCCGGTCGCGTTGAATGATGATGTCGCGATGAGAGGCGCAACGGAGCCGAACGTGTCGGGGGATTGTCAACTTTCCCGCGAATTGGAATGCAGTCGTCAACAGTAACAGTGATGTTGTTTCCACAGTTATTCCATATCGTTGATGTCAACAAAGGCAAGGCAATGGGACCCAATGCGTGGATATGCGCATGCTGCATGTACATTGAGGCAGAACTGTAGGTACGCGTGGGGAGCAGTCGGTGGTCGACACCCGACATTGCCGTCTGCGATGCGGGGTCAGAAGGCAAAGACCTAGTATTGGTGGTTGCAGGGTGTGTAGACGTAAGTATACATGCGTGCTGAAAGGTAGCACCACGCTATGACAGCTGGTACCGTGGTTCGCATAATGCGAACCCAGCCACAAGGCAGGCGCAGCAAAACTCAAGCAACTTCAACATGACTAAATGAACTACGACGCTGGACTGCAACACGATCAATGCGCGAGTTCTCTCGGCCCGCGATGCATGCAGAGATTTTCCTACCAGATCAGCCCATGTTTCCCAGCCACCCCGGCGTATCCCGGGATGGCTGGCTGAGCACGTTCTCCTCGGTGTATTCGGATAGCGATGGAAGAGCTCGAGCATCCTGTGTGTGGACCACCGTTGACGCGTATCTAGCTTTTAGCAACGCTTTGGCGTATATAGCCCGGGCCTAGGCGTCATAGCCCGTTACATTCGGTGAGTAGTCCGTTCGCATAGCCACGGATTAGAGGTTCGGCCAAAACCAGCTCGGCTCGAAGTGTTTTTGCTTTGCTCGGATACGACAACACGACCCGGTAGTCCTGAATTTGATTACCTATCGAAACACACTAGACGATTCGTAGGCTAGAAGGGAAGGCGTAGGTGGTAGAATATCGCGCGATGCTCTCGGTCCTGTGTAGAGACCCTCGGATGGGAGCTCTAGAATGCCGTCATATTACCGACGCACTGAGGTATATTGACCATGCCTTTAAGCGACTGTGGTGATTTATCCAGCCGCCCACTACCAAGGACGCGGGTAACGCACTTTGCTTTCCCTAGCGAGCCGGTGTAGTATCGAGAAGATATCGAAGGTGGCGTGTTTCCAGTAGATAGCGCAATAGCGCTTGCACGCGTTATCTGTTCGCCTGTTGCCCGGCGAAAGTACGTCTTTGGATAAAGATGAGTCGATGTATGGAGCGTCGATACCGGTACAGCCGCGTTCTGCAGTAGTATACCGGGTCGCTATGTGTCCATACAGCTGGGTCCGACGGTGTCAGTACAGCAAGGACGTCGCGGTAGGCTGAATGCACCCATGGAAATCCATCGCCGCCTATGCATAGTTGCGCTGAGACCCTTCTTAGAACGTATGTTCCTCAATTCGAGTCATTCCAAGGTTCTTGATGATCGTATGTAATCCGCTTCATAGCGTGGGGCATACTGCAGTGTACCCTGAATTGTGGCAAGACATACAATTGACGCATGTAGGTATGTCGTGCGGATCATGCACCGCCCTAGCCACAAGCGACTCTGCTGCGAGATGGCAGCCTGCTTTGGCTGCCGTTGAGATGCTGCATGGAGGCGGAAGTCGACATGTGTGCCCACCGGCGACTTTCTGACTCAAGTGACGACTCCAAAACGTCTGCGTCGCTGCCGGCACTTTAGAAGTACATACATACGCTGAGCGTGCGGCGCAGCGGGGGGAGCACGGCCGTCTACTTCACCCTAGCTCGCCAGCAAGCTTTTAGATTGCTTCAACCTTCCATTGAAGATCCGAGGTACAAGAATAGAAGAGCGGTGAGGGTTTCGCTTCTAGAGGATGTTTGTTGCCGGCAAAACGGGTAGTCATCTCAACCGAACAATGAACCCCTCACTTCGATTGTTCATTGTTGAACTTTGTTGAGCATCGAAGAGCATCTGGAGTGCAATCGAAAAGACGCTAGAGAACGTCGGAACAAGCGAGTCGTCCACAGAGCGTGACAAGGGGTGGGGCGAAAACCCATGAAGCAAGACCGGTGAGCGTGTCGACCCGCCAATCAAAATCAGAGGTCGCACCCCACGAGCTGCAAGGAGCGGTCGTGGCTTACTTGCTCCGTCGATACCCCGATAACGGCTCTGCTGTCTCCTGACGTGGCCGGTGGTGATTGGTAGCCGAACGCCTATCTGAACGCTTGAACGAGGATGTGATGCTGATCAATATGGAAGCAAGGGCTCCAGAATGACCGTCGCGGAAGAATTCAATATCTCGCTCTGAACCCACGACGGTCGCTTCGCGCTCGTGTGCTATCAAGCGAAGACATGAAATTGTCAGTGGAACCGCACGTGAAGGCCTTATTCCAGCAGTTCGATCGAGCCGTGATCGTGGACGACTGAGGGGCACGAGCTTGGCTCAGACCATGCAGGGATACCCTATATCACATGCATATGCAAGTGCGGCTTGCTGCATACGCGGCGTTATCCAATCGAAGGCTAGATTGTCCCAAGCGCGGCCGCATCGCGGGATTGCCTCACGCTGCAGGAACGTTTGTACATGTGTTCGAGACGGTCTTTGACTTGGACGTGGAGAATGAGTTCTTTTCTCTAGAGCGGTATTCTCAGTGAAGCAAATGATAAGCTTGATAGTTGTACTAAGCAGGCTCAGGGCGGTGCCCTCGTCCGGGGATACAGACAGCTGTGGTCCGAGTACAGATTGCGCTTTATTGCCAGTTGGACAGGAATGTACACAGACCCCACTGCGTGGCCACTACACGAGAACACGATGCTCGAGGGAGCTAAGGCTGATGCAACAAGAGTCGCCCTTTTGATGAACCCTGTCAAAGGATCGAGAATAGAACGCTGGTCTTGTGCTGAGAGGTTGAAACCTCTGGGCGCTCGACCGGATCGGTCAAGGACGGTATTTGCTCTGACACACTGATGTTGCCAGTCCCGACTGCCGCTGTGGTGGTGGTCAGCAAGTAAGAGGTAGAGACAGGCGCGGGCCTTTCTCCACGATCCGCTCCCACATCGCGCCGGCTGCACTGCACGTTTATTTACACCTGTGCATATCTGCTAGCCACGGTAGTCCACGCGACGAGGGTGTGACTGCGCCTTGGTGAGGAGATGGTGCGCACAGCTCCTTGAACGTAGACTTACACACGGTAATACGGTGCGGGTCGCTTGAGCTTCTGGTCCTACCTTTCGCCTCTGGTGTGATTCACATACTAGCAACTGTACTACCGCACTGTAATAGAGTTCCTGGCATGGCCATTCCAATCTTGGCGAGGATCAACTGACGATGCGATATGCTCCGACAGCCCTCATCTGATGCCGTCAGTAGTGGTACAGGTGTGCGGGAATGTTGTTCCCGACCAGACTTGAGACCACATGTTGCAAGATAACATGGGAGGATTGGCCGTCAGAGCATCAGTGTGCGCTCCGCGGCTAGCAGGGGGGATCAGATGGATGCGAACAGTTGGTTTGGCGCCTGAGGCGATAACATGGGCAGGACAGGTGCCAACTGTCAAGTGGCTGGCCTGCTTTGAGTCCCAGAGTCGAGGCTGTCACCGTTCGCATGGTTGTGGCAGGGATGGAGGCGGATTCTCCCGTGCGCTGTGCTGCGAATCCCGTGACGCAGTGACATGGCAGGGCGTTTCTCGCTTTGAGGATTGCGGCGAGGGAGGCGTGCGGCCGTATTGCTGTTTCAGCTGGCCGAAAGGAATGCCCTTGTGATACTGCACTAGGTCACTGCCAGGGTACTGGGTCAAGAGATTCCGACAGCGAGACACGGTGATGAATATTGAGTTGCACTCATAGCGCGGTAGTGCGGGTGGCTGTTGAGGGCGCAGTAAGAAAGCGTGACCTCGGCTTGGCAGGGCTGCTTGGGGCTAGCGTCGCCAGCGCATCTACTCACCG